TAGATTTGTTTCCACGGGATTTATAATAATAAAGTGCTTTTTATAGAAATGTATTTGCTGTATTATCTACCAATTGTGACCGAGTAATCATATGTTGCTTGTTTCATTGGTTCTGATCTGAATACAGGTACAAAATGTATTAAAGAAGCAGCTTCTGTTATCATTGTCGTTAGAATAAGTATTGCCTTTTTCATGGTATAAAACTTTGTTTAGAGATGTTCACTGCTGAATAAAATAGAATGCAAAAAGGTTGTGGGTTTGAACATGCTCGCCTTTTCAGCGGTGGGGGTTATAATGTGACGGTCGATTCTACTATTCGTTGGTAAAAGAGTTGGCGGTTGGTGGTGTTTACTAGCTATCTTCCATCTAGTCTATCACTCTTAAATTAATCGTATTGCCTCCCCCCCTCAAAATAATGCCGTATATTAACCTAATGTTAGATTTATTATAAATTTATTCATTGCCTCTTCCCCAATTAAGAACAGCTGGAGCCAGGACTGATAACAATACTATTAACATCGTATAAATTTCTAAATAATGTTTATTCATTAGTTAACTCAAATGCTTTCAGAACTTTTTTTTTACCTGCCTGCCGCTAGGGGAATAATGATAACAACAATCGTAAAATAGTTTAAAAATGAAGCGTCGTTCACTTAACGTGAGATCAAAATATGGAATGTAGCTTGTAGACTCCCTCATAGGACCAATTATAAATAATAAATAATAATTATAATTATAAATTATTATAAATAATAATTATAAATTATTATAAATATTAATTATAAATTATAATTATAAATTATTATAAATAATAATTATAAATTATTATAAATATTAATTATAAATTATAATTATTAATAAATAATGATAACAACAATTGTAAAAGAGTTTAAAAATGAAGCGTCGTTCACTTAACGTGAGATCAATATATCGAATGTAGTTTGTAGACTCCCTCATAGGACCAATTATAGCGGGAAGGAGAGGAAGGCCATTTGGTCCGGGCCTCGATCTCAAAGAGGGGCCTCAAATTTAGACACTTGTTATTTTTTTTTTACATTGGTTAAATTTCGCGACCTGTTTTCATGTGCCTCCCAATCAGACCAAAATGTGACACACACTCTCAGCTTAGAGCTGGAAGATATATATATATATATAAATTAAATTTGTTGTAATTTTTATTTTATGTTTCATATAGATCATTATGAAGAGGAGATTTGAAAATGATGCAAGTAAGAGACGGCGAAAACTAATAGCTCGAATCGAATTACTTCATTTCTCAAACCACTGGAAAACATACCTTACCCAACAAACAATGCTTCAGATGATGAAAACTCCTCAACCGCAACAGGTGATATTCGAATTACTTCATTTCTCAAACCAGGAAAACATACTTTACCCAAAAAAATCATGATGAAAACTCCTCAACCGCAACAGGTGATATTCGAATTACTTCATTTCTCAAACCACTGGAAAACATACTTTACCCAACAAACAATCCTTCAGATGATGAAAACTCCTCGACCGCAACAGATGATATTTCAATGCCAATGCCTGAACATGAGGACATCAGTCAAGAAGGGGATGGTTCAATCCCAAGGGCTAGAAAAGCATTTATTGAATGTTAATAAATATATGTTAAATTCTAATTATGTTTCACTTTTCTTTTGAGCTACTGATTGTCTTATTTTGTTTTCATGTTTCATAAATTTTTTGTTATTATTTTAGCCAGGGGCTTCAAAAGAAAGAAGTGGCCCAAGCCTCTCTGAACCTCTAAGAGGGCCTGTTTCCTCAGGAATATACACTCTGAAAGCTTAAGTGGTTAAAATGAATTGTTCTCCGAGCATAAAGTCGTTTCCGTTTAAAACCTATATATATGTGTGTGTGTGTGTGTGTTAATTTGCATATAATTGTACGTTTTATTTGTTATTTCCTAAATACTGCAGTTTCGTGAACAAAAAATAAAATTTTAAAATTAACACATTATAATAGAAAGACTGTGCTAACCCTGGAATTAATGATGAGGTCCATTGTTGTTATTTTTTAAATACTTTATATCTAAACTATTTATACAACAAATTGCTTGTGGGTTCATGAATTCATTGATTACAGGATCTTTAAAAGGGTAAGTGTAAAAAACGTAATTCGTTTTTTAAACGCATCTTATATATTAAAGAAGTGATTTTACCCAGTTGTCTTGGTTTTTACGTCGAGTGTTCTGACAGACAATAACGTATTATTCAATATGTTGACCCCCACCGTTGACACGTATTGACTTAAGATTTTTAAAATAATTAAAAAATGAGCGATTATAAGGTTCGCTTACATCACTCTAATGTTTTCTACTTTTTGAAATTGTTATTTTTTAAAGCTATTTAAATTCTTTTAAAACTCAAATTATTGTTATCGCATCCATTTTTGTCCATTCAGCCATCTACAACAGTAGTTCTCAACCTTTCTTTCCGCATCAACCACTTTGTCAAACCAAAGAAATTCTCGCGAACCTCCATACTCAAATAGGTCTGTCTGCGCAAACTGATCATTTAATGCAGTGTTTCTTAACCTGGGTAGTACCGTTCCCTAGTGGGCATTTTTAAAATTCAGGGGGTAGTAAACTTTGAGAGGGCGGACAAAAGTTTTGAGGGTTTCAAAGTTATATTTGTTAAAATTAAGCCACAAGAATTGACTATCATTGTCTTACAATTTTTATTTTAATAAACAGTGATGTATGTAGGTTTTCACAATTAAAATTATTGTTATGATTTAAATGGGAATACATTAAATACTGTGGCTGAAGAAAAAGATCTTGGTGTCGTGATCGAAAAATCACTTAAATCATATAAACAGTGTATTGTACCTAGCAATAGGGCTAATAGGATTTTAGATAGCATCTACAGAAATATTGAATACAAGACAAGGGATATTATTGTTTCACTGTATAGATCACTTGTAAAGCCTCATTTAGGGTACCGTGTACAGTTTTGGTGATTGAATTGTTGGAGAAAGTTCAGAGAAGAGCCACTAGGATGATACCTGGGATGATGAGATTGTCCTATGAGGAGAGACTAAAATCTCTAAACTTTTTTCTCTGGAGAGGAGAAGGTCAGAGGGGACATTTGATTGAGGTGTTTAAAATTATTAATAGTATGGATAATATAGATCCATCAAACAGGACAAGGGGTCATAAATTCAAATTCTGGCAACGTAGGAGTCATCTGCAGTTTAGACAGTATTACTTTTCAAACTGGGTGGTTGGTTTTTGGAATGAGTTGCCTTCAAGGGCAATGGAGGCAGAAAACTTAACTGAGACTAAGAAAAAATGGATGAATACGTGACTAGTAAGGGGTACCTATAGTTGGGAGCTGGAAAGTACATCCTTAATGGGCTAATAAGCTCCATTTTGTGCCTTTAAAATTTTATTAAAAATATTTTACTGGTCTAAAAATATCTTAGAAGGAGACATGAGCATCGAGAAACACTGATCTGGTGTGTAAAAGTGGTATTGATATAAAAAAAGTACGTACGTTAATGAAATTTTCAAATAAAACATTATATTCTTAATTGCATTACGGAAACTCGATCTTTACCACAAGGTTTATTGGACCATAGGTTGAAAACCACGGCTCTAGAGTGTCACAAGTAATCTAATAATGTTAAAATAACTTCAAATTGATTTGTTTTCGTTTGTTGAATTTTTTGTTAAGCTACATGAGGACTATATTCGATAGCCGTCCTTAATGAACAAGTGATAGGCTTAGAGGGAAGGCAGCTAGTCAACATCACCTACTCTTTACCAACGGACAGTGAGATTCACCGTCACATTATAACACCCCCACAGCTGAAAGGGCGAATATGTTCTGTGAAGGGATTCGAACTACGACGTGTAGATTGCGAATCAAGTGCCCTAACCGCAGCTCTGGCATGGTCAGGGGATTTCCAGGTGAATTAATTTCCCTTTAAGTGTCAGACAGTTAGATCCGCTAATAACAGCAGATTTGATCAGGAAATAGGAAGAGTAATCTGTGTTTGTTAACTTGACTGAGTTCCATTTGAAGGACAGAGAAAATAAATTTTATTTAGACATAAAAAACTGTGAGTAATATCCTCTACTGGGCCAATAAATAGCTTGTCAGCTTTCCGTCCCTCAAGATAAATATCTTCCAGAGGCGTTTCTAAGTGTTGAAAAGATTCGGGGCTCGGGCCCATAGGAGTCGGAATTTTCGGCGTTTCAGCATGCTGATTTTTCAAAACACCAACTGCGGATTCAGGGCACTATCAAATAGAATCTGGGCACGGGTCCTGTGTGCCAGTACCCAGCGACGCCTCTGATTTCTTCTGAACTAGTCATGATGTAAATCAAGTAGAAATGACCCAAGAAAGCATGCATGAATTCAATAGGTAAGCTCAGTTTCTTTATCCAATTGATGGCGTCGCCCCGAGACCTTGGTTCTCTCACATAACTGGTTAACTATAACACTTAGGCACTGTCAACTCGGTCAACAAAGTATATTAAAATGCTAATCCTTTTAACATGGATGTTATATGTTAATGCGATATCTCCTCGTGCAGAATAGGCATTATCTACTATAGAGAACAAAGAAACAACGTAATCTCAAGGACTTGTGCACCACATATTTATGCTAAAACTGCGAAGAAACTAACGAAATCAAAAAGTCTTAAAATTCATGTATCACTAAAGCAGGTAGAAAACATATGATATGCCTGCAAATATAATAAATAAGTGGAATAAATGAGCTAGACCTACTATAGTATATTTATAAAATAATAGTCCGCAAGATGTTGAAACTTGTCATTATTCTCACAAAAGAAATATTTTTTTCCTAAAAAATACAAGTCCAGGAAAGGAAAAATCTTTCATAACGACGTTATAAGCAACTTTTCTATTTACAGGTTTGAGTTTTTCTTTTCAGGACGAGATTTACAAATAATAAATTAATAATACTCTAGCTTTTATTTCTGTCAACAAAACAAAATGTCCTATTTCTGTCAATAATTTATCCAAAACGTGTTCGTAGGTTATCGAATACAAGTATATGACGTGTTTTATCCTGTAAATGTGTGAGTGTAGTCGGTATTTTTAATCAAAATGTTTCGGTAATTGTGTAGTATCATTATTGCCTCATTTAACAATTAAAATGATCAGATATTTAATTAATGTATAGGCATGCAAATTAAAGAGTTGTGATTATGACACATTACTGTAACTGTGATGGTTATTATTGTAGGCCTAACAGTTATTTATCGAGTAACACTAGCAGTAGCACTATACTTACACTACAGTTAAGTTAACGTTGTTTTATAAAGCTGTAGGCCTAGGCCGATTAATAATGCTTCTGGAATTTTTAAAATTTAATTTCAATGTTTATTTCCGACATATGCTGGTTTATATAACACGCATTACCTTTGGAAGGGCTAAAAGGCCAAAAATGGAGGATATTTCCGTTCTGCACGTAAGCCGGTCATTCATAGTTGTGAATAAAAGACATGATATTCTTATCAATATTGACAAAGAAGAAGGAATGTCAGAATTACCCGTAAGTGTAGAAAATCAGCTCAAGACCCGTTTCCCACACTTAGTTAATAGTAATCTTGTTCATAGTTTCCACTTTTGTCACAGACTTGATTATTCAACTAGTGGTGTATTAGCTGTTGCCCTGACAAAGGAAGCTGCCAAAGAAGCTATGCTGGTTTTCCAGAATCGTCTAACACACAAGTACTATCTTGCACTTTTACGTGGACATTTAGACCAAGAATATACAGTAATTAACAAAGGGATTGGAAAAGATACAAGAGAAAATTTCACACATTGCATGTGCACAGAAGACAAAGGTTATTGTAGTTTTCCCAAAAAAGCAGTCACACAAATTATTGTTCTCCAGAGAGGTCTGTATGCCAATTCCCCGGCAACTAAAGTATTGTTAAAACCAATAACTGGTAGGCGACATCAGCTTCGTGTTCATTGTAATTTCATCGGTCATACCGTGGTTGGTGATTACACATACAGTAATCGTCGAGACCTGGCTCCTTATCGTATGTTCCTACATGCTTATCGTTTGGTTTTGCCTACCAAGCTTGAACTTGTAGATGTCTCTACATGTGATCCATTTTCTGAAGATGATCCAAAAAACAAATGGACACCTTTAGAAACACTCAATACATTGGACTGTTGTGTATTTTCCGAGTTTCCCAACTGTGACGTTTTAAAGATCTGATGATAACATTATATATGAATCGAAATTTAGACCACAAAAAAAAGTTTTGTCATCATCTTCCCAAAATGAAATTTGACAATTGTTGTTTTAAACAAATGCGTTAGACCAGTCATGTTCAAGAACATATTCATTTTTTTAGTTATAACAATTCTTTTGACGACTAAAATATTCTTGTGACAAACACATAAAAAGTTGCATGTCATGAATATCTCGGGAAAATGTATTATATTCAGTTCAGACAATAAAATGCCCATGTACCATATTTAATGGTGGCTTTAGTAGTCTACTAAAATGCAGAAGATCAGTTAACAAAAAATAAAACTATTTACATGTGAAAAAACTAAATCCTTTTTAATTTTCACTTTGTATGAGAGTGAGTTCCACATGGATTCTTCTAAGTTTTAACATATAAGTATATAGTTCCTTTGTAAAAGATGACAGACATAAACATATTTTAACAAATTTATACAATATGTTCATATATATATATACATATATGTATAACATTTTAAATGTTCATTTGTATGTGTGTCTTGGAATATAAAAATTAATATTTTACTTGGGGATTATTTTTGATTTAGGTGGTAAAGTGTGGCTTGGGTTGACTTGAATTCTGAATTTGGGAGTAATTGGAACAAGTAGATGAGAAACCTGTTCGTTCCTTATGATTAGAAGCAAACATTCCTGATCATACAATTTGCTATGTTCTGTAAAAGAACTTCAGACACTAAATTTACACAATAAAGTGTCTAAAGATGAACTCTGGCAAACTGTTTCAGAAATTATTAAAAATAAATTGATTATGACAGACCTGTGAAAATTTCTTTTATAAGGTTTGTACTTAAGTTTGCACTACTGATGTCAGGTTCAAGATATATTTATTTAGATGAATTATTTTAAATTTAAATTTGTTTTTCTATTGGGTATAAGTCCAAGTGTTTTAGTATGTATTTATTGTTGAGAGTAATTTAAACTAGGGTGTGAGTATTTTATGTGTACACTCAGTTTACAAAGAATTCTTCAAGTTATCGTATTAAAAGTACATTTTTCAAAATTAAATCCATTAACCATGCCCAGGTAATCTTGACCTAAAAATATGGTTACATTATATTTAAATAAACTTCTTTTATATTAAATCACTATAGGATAAAGACTAAAAGAACATTAAGATGCTAAATGACTACTACATTCCAAAAAATATCCGACTTGGGTGAACACAATTACCACATTAATTGCATCATAAACTGGTGGCTAGCACTAAATCGTGGAGATGGCTTAACACTGGAAAATAAGAAAAATCAAATAATACATCAACAAACTTTTATTTGAGGCCAATGCACTGCAATCAGTAACATTTAGATAACCATTTTTCATCAAAATTACATCCACATATTGACAACATCACTAAACAGCCCATGAACAGTGACTCTTATCCAAATACAACACAGACACCAACATTCAAGAGGGCTCAAAAGATGAACCCTGCAACAGTTCATATTTCCTACAAGTTCTCGTGATGACTCGATGAAAACTTCATTCAAATAAGATACTCAAACACTAGCCCATGAGAGAATTTTTTACAGGTTTCAATTCTACAGTTAAATCAAGAAATTTAGGTGTTTTACAGATAACTCTTTTTACAATAAAATAATAAAATTAGGTATACCTAAATAAGAGTTTTGAGAAATATTTATTTGATTTTCACTTGATTAGCTGTGATTTCTTGCTCTTAACTGTTGCAGAGTATCAGTAAATATTAGTTTGTTTTCAAAAAGAGTATGTCGGTTTATAGAAATTAGTTTACTTTGAGCAGAAGAAAAAGTTTTGATGACTTGTGTATTTAGAAATTTGTGAATAAGGTTTTTCTTTTGTTTATGTAGAATCTCAAGCTTGAACTGTTGAATGATAACTCTAATAGACTTTAATTTCTTTTGTTCTTGCTTTCTGGTTATAAAAATCACAAATCAATTCAATCCTAAAAAATTTTTGTTATTTTTTTTCAAGTTGACTAATTATAAAATACTTTCCACTAACTGAAACTGCATATTTTGTATTTGAAGACAGTTCAATTATACACGTTATAGAATTAGAGCAGTTTTGGCTAGAGCTGGGCAATTACTGGAATTTGATAATCGATTAATTGTCCGGCACTTTAATTAATTACATTCAACTAATTGTTTTCAAATTCGATAACGAGGAACCAACTTTGAAACTAATAATGCTTGGAGATGGCTTGAGTGGGTAATGAAGAAAAACTTTAATATAAGTTTAACATAACAGCAAATGTACAACGTTTCGACAAGTTTTTCTTCAGTACCCATTCAAGCCGTCTCCAACCATTATTACAACTAATTGTTTATTTTTGTATGGATGTTTGAAAAAATAACTAATGTATAGTAATAATAAAAGAACCATGATTTTGGTTATTTATTTTGTGGTATTAATTGATTTAGAGTAATCAATTATTTTGTGTGACACTGATTGATACTCTTATGTAATCGAGTTAATTGACCAGCTCTATTTGTGATTAAATGAATAAACTTTAGATGCATATATAACATGAAAAATTATCTAATACATCATTTGATTTTTCAGTACTAACAAGTATATTTCTGGATGGAAAGCATTAAGATATTATTTGGAAATTAAAAGCAAGTCATTTTTGAAAATCTTGAGTGTTAAACTACATTTTCACTGTACTGATCTTAAAGAAAATTTTGATCAATATACAAATGGCTTGGAGCAAAAATAACTTTATAATTTATAGTGTAGTATTTTTCTTGCAAAAAGGTTTTGTTGCAGAGACAGTTCGTTAAGCCTGCTAACTCGAGTTTCAGGAAATACCAGACTATTGAGTATATTTATCTCTCTGATCTACAACCAGTATCATCTAGAAGAAAGACTTGACACCAATAGTTTTACAATGAACAGAAAAATGTTATTCAACAAAAAAAAATCACGATAACACAGTACAGTTAAGAAAAACATGGGCAAGTCTGTTTTTGGTGGATGTGGAACTGTCAAGAGATGGGTGAAAGAACCTTTAATGAATTCTCTTACTGGTTCAGTGTGTTTCCATTTTGTAAGTTAAACTAACACTAGACATGAAAACCCCAAAGTTAAGCTTAAACAAAGTTCAAATTGTATATTAGAAAAATTAAACCTACAACTAAACTTTTTTAAATATTACTGATATGGATATTGAGGCTGAAGCTCTAGTGCACATGGTTGTAATAGTAATGACGATTGTGGTGGTTGTAACTGTAACTGAAAAACTTGCAATTGTGGCTGCCACACAAAGGAGTGTCTCTGATGACACAGGAATTGGAATCAGGTCTGCTGAATCACCCATGCACTGTCTCTTGTGTATGTTTAAATTGGGGGAAAGTCTTATCCAACCATGTGATGAGATGACCCCACTGGAAGAGTACACATAACATGTCTAACTCAGAATGGAACATATTCTTTGATTTCTTAGTTTTAAGCTTTTTGTCCTTTCTTTGGCTCCAAGATGCAGTGGGTTTAGTGTAGAGATCTTGGTTGGGAATGACTGGCATTAAGATTTGGGTTTAGCTGAACCTCTATTTCCTGGCTCGGTGGTTAGCATACACCCAATGGGGAGGCAGTAGGTAGTGTGATGGTACCCTGCAGAGCTGAAGGATTAACCCTACCATCACTCCAGAGTTAGCGTGTCAGATACACACAGTAAAGTATCCGAATCCATCAGCTCTGTCAATGCAAATTTAGGCCAGTCTTAGTTGTAGAAGGCAATGCAAGAACCTCTGCATGACTACAGGCATACACTTATTGTGTTTGCAGAATATGACCTCTACGGGCACCTTGGTTGATGCAGACAACCTCGAGCTTGACCTAAATTAGCTTTGTTTGCTCTCTGAGTCATCATGGTTTATAGCCATCCTGTAACCTTGTTGCATTTCCTTCACTGTCATGTTATTGTTAAACCAACAAAGCCCAGGGTTGGTAGGAAAGAAATGGGGGGGGGACTGTGACCATGGTTTATAGCCATCCTGTAACCTTGTTGCATTTCCTTCACTGTCATGTTATTGTTAAACCAACAAAGCCCAGGGTTTGTAGGAAAGAAATGGGAGGGGGGATGAATTTGCAATGTAGTTACCCGCAAAAGTGACATACATTAGATATAATTTCACTTAAATTGATCTAGTTACTCCAACCATTGAGACTCGGTGACATCAATATCTTGTTTCCTTCTCTAAGCACTGAGGAGAATTTGTATACACTACAGGAAGGTGTCACTCTGCCTCCAAGCACTCTTGCACAACCAATATTTTTGTAAACTATGACGGGCTTGTACTATAAAAGAATTATCATATTATATACAGAAGACAGAGTACTTAGCTGATCAAAAATTTATACTGTTTAGAAAGTTTACTTTCCATGCCTAGTTTTGTCTCACTCAGTAACATTTCAGCCAGAGAATTGAAATATTAACAGCAAAACATGAGTAAAACTGTGTGGCATGAGCTCTCCATTATTCTTCAAACTAAAACATTCTCACAAGCATAAATTAAAACAGTTGCTCACTGTTTCTTTAAATAATGATTTACAGTCAAGTGCTCACATTGTAACTACTTCTACATTCAGATCAAATTGTAGTATTCTCATTCAAGTGTTTTCTCTTTGATATGTCGTCAACGGCTGATTCCTTTTATGTTGAACACTTATGTATGATTTTGTGTAGTTTAGTACCTGTATGATGTGTAATCGTAAATGCATATTTACATACATGTAAGGCTGCAACTTCTACATATCATAATGTACAGTAGTAGCTTTGACAGGTTGTCTCAGGCATTTGTGCCATTATCATTGTAACCTACACAGGCTAATTACATAAGATAAGCAACGGGAAATACAGTTCAGTAATGTGCTGCCATCTGTGATTGGTGCAACTCAACAGTTTTGCAGGTCTCATGAAATAAATACTTCTTGCTGGAACTTTCCCAAATTAGTATATTTAGCTTAAAATTCCTAACTCCAGTAACGTTATCTACCTTATATATATCAATACACTCCCTTGTAAGAATTGGTTAATTACATCAGGCCACAGTAAATGCCTATTTACTGTTTCAACCAGATGCAAACTGTGGACCATTGAGCCACTGTATTACCTTAACACAAATCGATCCATTTATATTGTACAGTTTCAAATGAAAATAAACATTAGCAATGCCAGCAAAACAAGACTTATTCAACTGAAAAGCTGCTCAATTCACCCTCTGAACAGAACACAACCCCATCAGTTTCCATGAAGGAGTCATACAATTAAGTATACAAGGAAGTCCTTTTCCAAGATAAATTCTGCTACCATTACTTTGATAAAGATGGAATTTTTCGTGATGAAAATCCCTTGGGCACAAGTGGTAATTGTACAATGCAATGAATACACGATATCTTACATCACCACAATGGAGCTCAGAAAGCAAGGGTCGTTAGGTCCTTTCAGTCACTGGTGGCATGACCAATCGACCATCCTAGCTAATACACAAGTGATAATTGTACCATGTACTACATACATAATATATTACATTAACACCTAAAGAAATTGGTAAATCCTTTCAGTCAGTCTTCTTTTGAAAAGTTGACTGTCCAAGGTAATACCCCCAAGAGAAACCCTACAGCAGGTTCAGGAGAACCATTGATAATCAGATAAGAGTGGCAATTTTCACAAGGAAACTCATTTGGGTAATGAGAGTTAAAGAGTCACAATACCCTTTCAGTCAAGTGACCATCTGATGTAATAGCTTATTATCTCAACTAAGTAATCACGAGGATGTCATCTCAACAGACCAATGAAGCACTGTGAAGATTTCTCTTCACATTAACCACTTGATTGAATCAAGATCTGGGCCACTCAGATTCAATATCAAGTATAACACTGCCTATACCTGAACTTGCTCATCTTAGGCAGTGATCTGTCTGGAATAATCCAAGGCATGATCAAGCCCTCCATTGGCTTCCTTCTCACCCACATGGGAATAAGATCTGCCTCACTTCCACCATGGGCTCACATGGTTTCAACATGGGTCTTTCCTGGTAGACCTTCAGTTCAACTTAGACTGGAAGGTCTGGTTCAGTGGGGAAGACTTAGACAAGGCAGATTCCAAAACCCTATACTCTGCTGACCATCGATTTATATCACTGGAGTTTCCGCCTGATGAGATATACCTGCCCAGTAAACTCTTGGATTTCCACATAATCCAGTTCTGCCTTAGCAGTTTACCTCCCATCTCAGAGATAGTCTCT